CAGCCAGCCTGGCTGAGGGGCTGCAGCTGTGAGAAGGCAGCTAATGAGTGGCTCACTGGGAGTTAAAAACCCCAGAAAGCAGAGCTGCAAGGAGGGTAAATGTGAAAGAAGCAGTCATAACCTGAACTACTGAACTATGTGAAGAGCAAGCCTACTGTGCAAAGGCCAGATCCACAGAGGACTCCTCTTCCTCCAACTGAAAGACACGGCTTAATGCTGAGGCCAGCTGGAAAACTGCTCAGAGGGTGAAGCCTACAAGCAGCAACTTGCTTACAACAACCAACTGCTACAGCTACCTCCATGCCAGCTTTCATGCTAAGAAAACCACTAGATCATCCTCTATAGTTAAGCGCTATGTTATACCTGTTATCTGCTCCAATCCCACTAACTGGGATGAACACCTCAAGGATCTACAACAGTTGCCTATACTTACAATACAATCCCAAAACTCACATCAACCCTGTGACATGAACAGCATCCCAGCAGTTGTCACTTAAATCCTCTAGCTTAAACATCTTAGACACATCATTTAATGACCTTTAACCCCTCCGAGAAAATAACCACTTAAAACTATCCTTGGGGGCCAGCTTACAGGCAGCCCCCCAACCTCAAAAGAGCTATCAGACTACCTAACTCCAATTCTCACCAAGACACCAGACCTGGCTACACTGTCCCTTCATCAACACAGACCACATGATCGCTGGAATAAGTACCACAAATTGTTACATCTGGATACATTTACCTACTCCTCCACCAATGTCATATATGCTATCACCTGCTTACAGTGCTTCCGCAGCTTATATTGGCCAGATGGCCCAATCCTCCAGAAAAGAATGGACACTAATTCAACATCAATTCCAGAAACTCCCAAAATCCACAGCAGAGCATTTAACGTTCATGGACATTCTTACCTCAAAATAGCTATCCTTGAACAACAAAAGGGCAAACAAAAACCCCAATACATCATCCACAATCTGGATTGTATTAACCTTGGTCTCAACAGGTATGGATTCTTATCCATTACCTAGACTCCTACCTAGACTAGAATGGCCCAACCAACAGGCAATATGCAGGCAAGCTAGGCAAGATTGAGAACATAAATCTTTCTCTTCTGCTGAAGCTTGTCTAGTGGGCAAGAGGATAAGAGTCAGAGGGCCAAAAAGGAGGGTAAGCAAAAGGAAGTACAAAGCTGGCCTTATGAAGTGGACATTTTACTGACAGGGAGGGATGGATGCAGAGAGCCATAAACTCTGCTCCCATAACAGCTTCTATTCTGGTTCTTGGCTGTTCTTGGTTATAAGAACTTAAGAAATGCCATACTGGGTCAGACCAATGGTCCATCTAACCCAGCCTCCTGTCTACAGAGCCATTGACACAGGTGTGTTTCTGGTGCACTTTATGGACTCCCCTGACACCTTCCCCTCTTGCCAACAGAAGGAAGCCCAGGCACATGCTTACCTCAAGTGCGCCAGGTTGCAGCCTCTCCTCTACCTCCTTCAGAACCTGCTGTTGAGATTCTGGCTGCACTTCTCCCCACACCTTTTTTGTTACAAACTTCCTGTCCATGACCCCACCATGTCCTGGGACCTCCTGGTCAACCTCCCCCTGGCTCTGGCCAAGCTGGCCATCTATAAGACCAGGAAGGAGCCCAGGCAAGTATGGGGCTGCGCTCTTGGCACTTCTTCGCTCATGTCTCTAGACAGAGTTTCACTGATGAGCATCCACAGGCTCCCTCAACTCCTTCAGGGGGCAGTGGGCACTGGCCAGTGTGTTCTGTTCAGTGTCCACTTCCAATGCACTGGTTTTTAACCTATAACCTCACTCCTGTTCTTGTTTTATTTTTTATTGTTCTAAGCAATCAGTTGATGTGTCCCCAGTGGCCCTCCTCATTCAGAGAGGCTTACAGTTTCTGTAATGGGCAAAAACCCATGCGATTTTTACTGACACATCAAATAGGCCTGTCTCCTGTCTACAGAGCAGTTGCCACGGACATGTATCTGGTGCACTTTATGGACTCCCCCAACACCTGCCCCTTTTGCCAACAGAGAGAGGCCCTGGCACATGCTTACCTCAAGTGCACCAGGTTGCAGCCCCTCTTCTGCCTCCTTCAGAAACTCCTGCTGAGGTTCTGGCTGCACTTCTCCCCACATCTTTTTTGTTATGCACTTCCTGTCTGTGGCCCCACCAAGTCCTGGGACCTCCTAATCAACCTCCTCCTGACTCTGGCCAACCTGGCCAGGAAAGGGGCTCTGGCCAGGGGGAACCTGGATAAGCATGGGGTTGTCTTGTCACTCCATTCATATCTCAGGCAGAGTTTCATTGGTTAGCATCCACAGGCTCCCTTGACTCATTCAGGAGGCAGTGAGCGCTGGCCAGTGGAGAAGGTGGGAGAGGGGTGAGGGGGAACTAGTACCCATAGCTAGTTTGCTCCCTCCCTCCCTCACCTGCTGCTGCCACCCACAGCTTAAGTGGGTTGTTGTCTAGTGAAGAGGAGGTGGCAGCCGTAAGCCCCACCCCGCCCGTCAAAGGCCCTAAGGAATGGCTCCCAGGAACAACCGTGTCTAAGCAGGTCTGTGCATGACCCCTGGCTCCCCATGCTGTTCTGAGCAGGCAGCTGCAGCTCCTTCCCCACGGTGGGGAGAGGAAGGGCAGGGCAGGACAGGACAAGCGCCCACTCAGGGCTTTGCACCCCCTAGCAGGGACTAAGTATGTGTTATCAGTTAACCATTTAAAAAATATAACTAGAGGAAGTTAAACGGATAAGTTTTTTAACAATATTAACATTCCTACTTTGCAACAGCGTGTATTTAAAAAGTGATCTATCCCTTTTTTGTAGGATCCTTTTTCTGGTAGTCAAACCCTTCCTGGCATCTATCATCATTGGTGAGAAGCGCGCTGCCTGACTGCTTTTGCATTAAATAGTCACTCTAGACATCTTAGTGCTAGACATTTTGTGGCTGTTACACAGGGTGGAATAAGATAATGCTTAGTGACCTATATGGCTAAAAGCCACATCATTGCCACTTGACTGTCTTACAGATGGAATAGGATCTGATCCTAAAACATCATCTTTGTTGTCTTAGAGAAACTTAAGTTGAAATAAAGAATTCTGGGCATGAAAAAGTTTGGAAGATAGGGCAAGATTAGTTTTGAAAATTCCTGAAGCTTCAAACAAAAACATTTTAAAAGTCTTCTGCTATCTTTAGTATTTTTACCTAAAATATTTATATTTTTAAATAATACAGAAGGTTTGATTTTTTCAGCCCTGGCATTAACCTCAGTTTCAGTGTACTCTTGCAATTACTAACCTCCAAAGGAATATTCTTCCCCAACTACATATCCAGTATCTCTGGTCCCCGTGTTCTTCTTTTCATGGTATCATCATACTCTATGTTTCTTCTAAGGCTTCTACATTTTTTTCATTTCAATGATCAGATGTTCTTTCTTAGCTAATTACTACTTAGTATAGATAATTCTAAAGCAGGTTGCTGATGACATTCTGCTCTCCATAAGAAAATTATAGCAAACATCTATTGAGAAATGTAGTTTATTTTCAAATTTTCCTATGTTGTCTGCAAACCCTCTCATTTCAAATTCCTTAAATGAGAGTAAGCAGGCTCTTATTTTCCATCACAAACAGAAATATAAATCAGTATATTTACTGATTATGACATAAAAATGCACCATAATCATATAAGAAAGTTATTAAAGCAAAATGTGACCCTTTGGACAGCTATATTGACTAAAAGGATATGCTACAAGGTTTTGTTACTTTCTAAAGAAGTAACTCAGGCTATCAGGTCAATAATGGAACTTGTAATAATAATTCTAAAGCTCCATATTCAAATTTCAGCCCCTCTCCTTTTAAGCAACCACATGTGAACCATTAACTCTGAAGTCAGAAGACAATAGTAGACACTGTACAGATCTAAAAATAAGGAGATGAAAAGTGACAGAGTTGAACCCCTCTCATCGAAAAAGATCATCACTTTCATGACACTTTTAGTCTCTAAGTACGTTCCTGTGAAAGCCATCAGGGTATTAAACAGCTAAGTGTTGCATAAATGACTATCATTTAAAGGAAAGCTCTTTTTTCCTTTTAAAGTAATAGTAAGACAGATAGCAGTAGAAACTAAAGTTCTCTATTCAAAGAACAAGTATTGCATGGAAGTAGGAGTGTAAATTTCTTAAGCTGTCCTCCCAGAAGTTTCAAACAATTTTGGAGGGACCACTTCTGGGAATCTGATAAGAGTTCAGACACTAGTCCTATTCCAGCCCTCATTTCTCAAATCAGTATTATAGATATCAACTATGATGAAGAATCTGAAAGTGTAGTTATTAGACACATACTAGACACACAACCACTAACTTCTTTTAAAAACAGCACCAAATAGATGGAAAGAATCTGTGGTTATCACTAAAATTGCAGTTATTACTGTCATAGCCTAGATTCAAACCAGAGACCTCAGTAAAAGAATGTAGTCCATTGCTGATTAATAGATCCAGCCCCTCAACCAGGCAAATGCCCTCTTAAACAATTCGTCTCCTGTCAACATGCATGGAATTTAACTTCCATTAGCATTAACAGGAATGACCATTAGAAATTGCTATCTAAATGATTAGTAATAATCTTCTGCATCAATTGGAAAATTGGATATGTTTGAAAGTAAACTGTCCTTTGTAGTAACATCTACTTAACTTTAAATGCTAAAAAAAATAGTTTTAGAATTTACTTATAGAATATTTGGATCAGTGCTTTTGTATGTAAAACAGAAAGTCAGAACAATCTATAAAGGTGCATGATGTACAAGTTGGTATGGGGGATCAAACCAGAGACTGTTTGACAATTATGCAAAATTCACAACTATTGCTTGATGACATTGAATAGTATTATCTTTGTTTAAAGATGTAACTTTATTTCTTAATAGAAAGTTATGAAAACAGGGCTTTAAGAGATGCAATCAACATTCAGGCATCTTCACAAACACAGTACTACTTACTTTCATTAAAAGCATACTCAAATCCTTCAAGAGTATCAGGAAACTCAAGTGGTGGCTCATCTTTTTTCATCAGTTCATCCAAGTCTATTCTAGACAATAAATCTGGAAAAAAAAAAGCATCATTGTATAAGTGCCTTCTTTTTAATCAACAAAAGTCATTTTTTCATGATTTTAAGACCAGAAGGGTCCAGTATGATTGTCTACCATGACCTTCTGTAATAATACAGCCCATAAATTTCCCTGAATTAATTCATGCTTCAAGTTCAATAGCTATCCTTGAACTAGTCTCTCCTTTACAAAAACATACAATTTCATTTTAAGTTTCCAGTGCTGGAAAGTCCACCATAACTCACGTTAAGTTGATTCAATGACTAATTATTCTCACTATTAAAAATATGCATCTTATTTCTAGTCTGAATTTCTCCAGCCTCAGCTTCCAGCCACTGAACTCTGTTACCTTACACTGACCGAAGAATTCCCTATTACCAATTTTTTTCCCCATGCAAGTATTTAGACTGTGATCTAGCCACCCTGTAACCTACCCTTGATATCCTATATACGGGAGCACCCTGAATCCTAGCAACTCAGATTCATTTTATCACCAGCCATATTGCTCAAGCCCGTTTTAAAACTTCCTGCTTTCTAGGACTAATTCTCCCTATCCTGCAAGTATCATTCCTACATGTATGAAGATATTTCTAACCATGAAAAAACAAGTATTGTTTGTCTACACCCAGTTTAACTAAGCAATTCAGTTCACTTGTAACAATGGCCTTTATTATTTATAATTTCCCTGTTCTTTGGGTCATCTGCAAACTTTAATTGAAATTTTTGTCAACAGCTAGAAAAATATCTACCCATATTATATATAATCTCATTACTAATAACTAGCATGTGGCTAAAAAATATGATGATACAAAGATTATTCCCAACTTTTAATCTTCATTAGCTCTGCAAGTTATTTTTGTACCATTTAGCTGATTAACGGACACGCCATATACTACCAAGTCAAATGCCCTATTTAATTATAGGGTAATGGGCAGACATTTTAAAATGGGGGGAATTACCATGGTTCAACTGAATCTACTGTACGTGTTCTGTTTGTACACTCCTAAGTGAAATTTAGACTGGGGCAGCTTACCCTCGAATGAAAAGCTGTTAAGCTGGCTTTGCTTACTGTGGAACAAAAAAGGGACTGACACAAATAATAAAGAAGGATCATCTGACTTGTGCTTATGAGCAGCAAACCCCTATCTCCTTTAGAAAAGTATAAGTCTTTATCTGTCCATATCTTAAGTATACTGCATTAACACTAACATCTTCATCAATTAAATGTGTTATCCCATACAATATCAAGTTAGTTTGGCAAGACCTGTTTCCCATAAAATGGCATTGACTGGTATTAAATATATTTCCCTCTTTTTTAACTATGTATTAGCTGAATCCTGTATCAACCATTTCATTATTTTGTTCAGGATTCATGTCAAGGCAACAGGGCTTACGATTTCCTGAATTGTCTTATTTAACATTTTGAATTTTTTGCACAAAGTTAATTTTCTACCAATCCTATGAAATTTCTCTGATGCTCCAAAACATCTTCATCCAAGCCAACTTCATGTTTCAGACAATTCTTCAGGGTATGGACAGGTGTTCTGTAGAGATAAAAAGTGCCTTGGCACTTCGTAGCACTACAAAAACGTAGCATTTTGGGGGCATACAGGCATTCCAACCCCCTGACAAGAGAGCTACAAAACTGCCTCAAAGGTTAGCTCTCCAGCCAGAAGATGATAGGGGACTGCCCTTTTGCTCCCCACCTGTCCTTAGGACAGCCTAATCAGTGACAGAATGCCCTCTCCTCTGCCAGGTTATGGTAAGGGAATTCTTGCCTCCACTTCAAGAGTCCCCACTTGGGTGGCTACCAGGGAGCCAGCTGTTCTCCCTCTCTCCCTCCCCTTGGAGAGGTCAGGTGGAGGTAGAGTGCAGGACTGTGTGATGCTGTTGGTTTTAGAGCCCCCACAGCACTACATGCAACTGTACATGCATTAAACACAGCACTACAAAATGTAACACTTACAAGAAGTTCCTCTTTGAAATGCTAATATTTTGTAGAACATTCAGCATCTTTGTAGCACTACACAGCTTGAACGGCTGTACACTCACTTTGTGTAGTGCTACGAGGACATATTTAGCACCACAAATGTAACATCTGCCCATCGCCTCAGTCTGCTCTCTTAAAATCATTTAGTTTGATTTAATACCCTCTTACAAGTGATTCACTGGCTGTAGTCCTCATTGTGTAATATTGAGCAATTGTTTATCTACTCCAAAAGACATCCTGTAGGGTTTCACAAGTGTCAACATCCACGTGCCTCTACTATGGTACTTGATCATCCTCATAATATATACAGTAAAATCCCTGTTATCCTGCATGAGTGGGGAATGCCAGGTGCTGGTTATGTAAAAATTCTGGGGGGGGGGGGGATGGCAGTGGCAGCACAGGGTGGTGGGTGGCGGCGGTGGCCATCACCGTGTGCAACCTACCTCTCCTTGCCCCCTGTGTCTGGCCAGCCAGAAATTCTGGTTTATAAAGTATTCCAGCTTGTAGAATGGCAGATAACAGGGGTTTTACTATAATTGATTATGAGACCATGAAAAGCATGGGACATGCTTCAGGAAACAGTATGATGACAACTCAAAAAAACCCTATTTTTCTAGAAGACAAATTCAGATAACACCAAGCATACTAGATGGTAAAAGATAAGCCTTTGAAAGATTTCTAAGAGTTGCTTTTGCTAGCTATAATGATGGTAGAGTAGAATAGACATGTGTCAAAAAGAAGATTTGTTATAAGGTAACAAGTTTAAAGAAAAAAATATCTAGCTGGTAGCAGCAAAGTCCAAGAATTTGCTTACTGTGTATGCTTTGCTGGGATGGTGTATCCATTTCTATCTCATAACTGAGCTGCCCCACTGTGCTGATGCCTCTACTTGGACCTATCTTTGAAGACCACACAGAAAAGAACAGGCACTTGTTTAATGGCATGGGACATTTGAAGCACGCTAAAACTTATGCTTATTATGCAGAACTAACTTCCTATATTCCCAAATTCAATTTGAAATGCTAATTTCTAGTCTCAGTTGGCCTGGGTCTTGCCTACCTTAATGACAATATTCAACATTCTCCTGCCATAGCTAAGATTAGCTGAAGTGATAATTAAGCTTAACAGTGCCTTTAGATTTGATCTTCTTAATCATTTTAGGGCAGAAGTGGGCAAAATATGGCCTACAGGCTGCCAAGGGATTTTATCCAGTCCATGGCAGGTCCCTTGGCCCCGCCTGTCTCAGGCGCAAGAGGGCAGCCCAAGCCATGGTATATACGACTGATCCTGCCACCCACAGGTGCACAGCAGGGCTGGGGAGGCACAGCAGCTGAACTTAGCTTCTTGGCAGCCCCAGTGGCAGTGGCTCCTTCTGGCTGCCACTGCCAGTGTTACCATTGCCGCCGAACATAGCCCTGCTTCCTGGGCATGCTGGTCTGTCCACACTGCACCCACCACCAGGGGCTCCAGATGGAGCAGGCACACGGGTGCTCCATGGAGACCAACACAGGACTCCCACAGGCAGGCAGGGAGCAGCATCTAGGAGTAGGGCAGGGCTAGGGTTGGGACTGCGGGCCAGCCTGGAGCAGAGCTGTGATCTGCTCCCCGCACATCCCAGTGACAGGCACCAGTTCCTGAGCAGAGGTGTGCAGGGAGCAGATAGCAGCTCTGCCCCAGGCCCGGGCCCTATGCTATCACTGCCCAGCAAACCGGGCCCCAGCCCTGGCCACCCATCCTATCCCCAGATGCTGCTTCCTACCTTCCTGCAGCCCTATCCAATCTATGCTCTGCCCGCATAACCAAAAAGGCATACTAGAGGTTAAACAATAAAACAAGCTGACAATATTCTTAATCCACCCTTTCCGAAAAATAAGAACACAAAAACATCTGCCTAGAAAAGCACAGGTTCAGGGGTGACCTGGTGGCTGCCTGTAAGTACGTAAGGGGTGTGCATCAGGATCTGGGGGAATGTCTGTTCACCAGAGTGCCCCAAGGGATAACAAGGACCAATGGTCATAAACTCCTCCAAGACCGTTTTAGGCTGAACATAAGGAAAACTTCTTTGCTGTCCGAGACCCGAAGGCCTGGAGTAGGCTTCTTCCAGAAGTGGTGCAGGCACCTACTCTGGATTCATTCAAGAAATGTTCAGATGCTTATCTTGCTGGGATCCTTTGACCCCAGCTGACTTCCTGCCCCTGGGGCAGGGGGCTGGACTCAATGATCTTCAAGGTCCCTTCCAGCCCTAATGTCTATGAATCTTTCTCCAAGGGCAGATCATTCCACCACTGCCCACTACAAGAAACATGATTTGAACTTTCCTCTGAAGTGACAGATATCAGATGCTGTTAGAGAAAGGATGCTGCAGTTGGTCTGTGCTCTTCCCAGATTAAATGAATAGTATAGAAGCCAGGGGCTGGTATGCATGCATTACTATTCATTCCATCCAGGAAGAGCACACAACAACTGCAGATGCTACCTCAGCCAGACAAGGGGTGTTTATACCCGAAAGCTTGCAAAGAATTTTTACAGCTATTTAAGTTGATCTAATAAAAGATATCAGATTTACCCAAAGAACCTCATCTGCCTATGTCCTTAGACCAACACAACTACAACAAAGAAATTCTACTTCCTTTTCTTAATCTAAAAAAAAAAAAAAATGCATCTGATGTCATTTACATATGTAAAAGAGAGCAAGAGAGAGGCACAAAATAAGCCTGTACCTTTTAGTGCAGTAGTTTTTTCTTTTTCATCTGGTCCTCCTTGCTGGAGTTGAGCCATCTTTATCCAAACTGTGAACAAAATTGAAGTGATGAAGGAAAATGACATCAATCTTCACAGGATGAGCTAAAATTAATCAAAGTTAGGAATCAGTCAATTAATTGACTTTTGTTTCACAAGATATTACTTGTAAGTGTGTATACCATTAAAAATGAAAAATGACTCCAGAAGTTAGTTTCCTACCCGAAGAAAAATTGCAAATACATTTGATATACCATTGATAAATTTAAATTTAGGGTTGACATTTATCTTTCCTTCAATACATCAATTTTCATACTTAAAAAAACACAACCATATCACAAAAAATTAAACAGTTTTACTAAAAAAATGTAATTCAATCACACAATCCCTTGCAATCATTGGTAAAGGATTATTGGTAAAGGCTTCAATTTCACAGGAGTAAAGTTTGGCTTATTGGAATTTAACTGATCTTCCATTTTTACTGTTCCTCAGAAAGGTATGAACTACAAACCTCCTATTTTTCCCAAATGCCTATGATTTATAATTACTCAAAATCACAATAAGAAATGGAAGATACAACCAAGATACAACCAAGATAAGTTATATTATCCCAAAATGAAACTATAATTACCATTTATTATACTTTTGCATATAGAACTAGATTTTACTAAAATTATATACAGTGGCTACAGTTAAATTACACAGCCCCGATTTAGGAGCTTGGAAAGATGCTAACTTTACCACTCATTACAATTAAGTTGTAGCCTAAGGAGTCATACGGCACAGTGCCAAGAGTGTAAAACAATTTGTCTGTTTTTCTCTTACTCGTTCTGATATATTTTTACGTCTTGCTTTCCCTGTTGTGGCACAGCTGGTTCATCTAACTAATCAAGAATTTTATAAATTCCCAAGTTAGTTTTCCTAATAAAAATTCAAAGTTATCAGTCGGCATGAGCACAGGTAAATGCTATTGAAAAATGCAGCCAACATGTAGTTTGATACATTTGATAGACATTCATATGTGTACTTGACACAGGTTATTTGGCATTAGTTATCTGATATGGGTTAGGTTACAGAGAATCAAGCATCAGAAGCTTTTTACTGGGACATGGAGCTGACATATTGTATACCTCCTGATAAATACTATTGGTTAAATATGGCTTTGCTAGAAATGGTTAGAGTTTAAAGTATATTCAAACATCTCTTTTGCCATTTTGTTTTGTGGATTACATAAAGCAATTATCATATCTCCTTCTCCTTTACAATCTCAACAGAAAATCCACTAGGTATAAATAAAACTATAAATAACATGCCATGTGTAATCTTTATCAAGTCAGCATTTAAAAACAGAAAACACAGGAATTTCTAGGATGCTCTGTTTACTCAGTATCTGAAATTTATAAAGAACAAGTATCCAGGTATAGAGCACCCTCAAGTTATTTAAAATGAAGTATCATAAGCAGCAAGATTCTTGTAGTTTCTTTTCTATTTTGTAACAGACAATCATCTCAATGACTTTTTCCATCCACCTGAATTTAACACTTACAAAATATACTATCACAGCAACTCACATTTAAAAAAAATAAAAAACAGATATGTATGAACCTCTTCTCTCCTTTCAGCTTCTTGATTCGTAGTTACAATTTGCAGTTGCTATTTGATTTATCCTTCCCATGAATGTACCTTATATCATGGCCATGTCTCCAGAAATCACATTTCTATAGCAGGTTGGAACTGGTTCCAATATTGACTAACCTTCCACCAGAGACTTAACAGGATTAAACCTCTGTACTACTGGTTCCCTCCAACTTAAATTTATGAGTGGAACACCCAAAATAGTTTCTTTTCAGGTTTGGTAGTTCAATGCAAGACCAGCTAATTAATAGGAACATTTAATAGGTAACATATGGTAAGTATAAGGGGTTTAATTTTATTATTTTAAACTCCCAGAAACTGCCATGCTTTCTGTCTCTGCAGATTCTGAATGCTCTGGAGAACTTATATACCCATCTCCTTCCTGTAAAGATGTGACGGGTTTTAGTATTTCTTCTGGTTTTAGTTTAAAAAAAAAAAATCATATTATTAATTTAGAAGGGAATTGGCTATCAGCTGAGTACTTAAAAATCTAAAATCTTCCTTTAGGTTCAGTAACCCACTAAGCAGGCATGGCCTGTGGGACAGCATCAATTTCCCTTGTACTCACACCTAAAAATACTCAATTACAGCTACAATGGCAACACACTCTAAGAGACTTCAAAACTAAGGTCCACCAATTTGCTTCTTCTGTCTTCTAATATCCCTACTCAGGTTTTGCACTTCCCCAAGTCTGTCACACTTGAACAGGATTTATTTTAAACAAAACGAATGTGCACATTTAGTTCCCCTAGGTTTTAACACAGTAAAAATAAGGTTACGTATAACATTTGAAACAGGAAAATAATAAAACTACATAGGGAAACTGTAAATAGTCCTAGACTGCACCCAAAACAAATAATACCATTTAAAGAATTAAATTACTCAAGCTACAATCAAAAAGTCTGGTTTCTCATGAGAGATCGTTCTGAAATGGTTGTAAACAGAACACTAATATTCAAATTGCTGAACAGAATGGATTAACATCCATCAATATGTGTGTTTGCAAAACAGTGGTATCATTATCTGTAAAAACAATTGAAGTATTTAAAAAAAAAACTAAAACACAAGTCACTGTAAGTGCTAGAAACTAGGGTGCCCTTGTACTGTTCTACGTGTTTAGTGTATTTCAAGAAAACTAAATTAACACTGTAGGTCATGATGTTAGTTATGCCCAAGTCTTACCTATGCAACAATTTAAATTTTTATTTTAACACGGGTTAGTGGAATAGGTTACAAGTTGCACACAAATCTTCAAAAGTATGCTACAAAGTCAAGAGAAAAAATATAAGACTTATCTGAACATGGAATGAACCTGTCAAATTAAAAAATAAAGTTGGATATAAATGATAAATATAGTGGACACAGCAAAATAACAACATTTAGGTGAATAATAGGACTCCGGGCATTTTGTCTCTCCATTGTAAGACTGGGTTTCATCTATCAAATGAAGAGCTTGCCACTGAGGAAAAAGCAGGTACCTCGTAGGATGACCTGCCAACCTGGAAGATCTGGAGAACTGAATTCAGCTTTGAGAAAAGACAATTTACCAGTTCTTCAGTTAAAAGTAAAAAACTGTAAGAGCAGCCACTGGAGGGAGGACTTGGTGTTAGAATGAGGATAAAACAAGCACAGAGTGTTTTATGTATTGTTTTGTATGAAGACAGCATTTTGTTGAATCCTTCTCTGATATTTGTTTAAATGACAAATGCAAGAATTAGATGAGAGGGTTAGATTTCCTTTCTTTGAAACACAGATGTTGATTCAACTAGAAATTGTTGGTGCACAAATGAACACAGAGAAAATTATAAAGCTGTCTGAATGGTTACTTGTAAGCAAAAGCAGGAATCACAGATTATTCAAAGTTTGCATTTCAAGCTCCTGTAAGGATATCTAATAAGGCCAGATCACTCTTTGACTATTTTGTTCCGCACGTATCACTACTAATATTTTTTCATTGCATATTCACTTACATTATCTGAAATCTGTCTGTTTTTACACAGATACAATCACATAGATAATCCTTTAAACAAAAGGTTTTACATGGTCATTTATTTCCATTACATGTGACAAGCACACTTCTGAATAAATAATAGGTACTGCTCCACCTGCAGAAATATTTAAAAGTAAGAAAGCTACTTTACAAGCAGACTCTTATTTATTTATGCTTATATTGGTTTTCCATGCAGAACCAGCACATATTTTATCCCACAGCATCCAATGAGGTTTCTATAGCTCTTTACCCTCAATGATTAGCAAAAAAGAACAGAACCCAATGTGAAATATATTTTGGTTTCACTGTTATTAATAAATCTTTTAGTAGGGTGTACAATATACAAAACAAAGAGAATTACATTCTGGCCATTAATATAAGAGAAGAATTGGCAGGTGCAGAAGCAAATGTCCATTTAAACACGCACACGGGATTTTTTAAGCATAAGAGGATTACCTACATAGTTCACATTCTCATTTGTAGAGTGCTACTAGAACTTTGGGTCATAGAGCTTGAAGATACAGTCTAGCACAGTGATCTTCAAATGTGGTCCATGGACCCCTGGGGGGCAACAGACTTAAGCTAAGGGGTCTGCAAAAGATGACTATGATCGATCCAAAATATGTGAATACCCACATGTACAATTGAAAGGGGTCCACAACTCCATTTGAAATTTCCAAAGGGGTCCGTATCTTGGAATTTTTTAGGGGTCCACAAATGAAAAAGGTTAAAAATCACTGGTTTAGCAATACTACACTTCAAAACAAACAAGACACCCTAGTATGTCTGTGTGTATCCCCAAATACAAAAAAAAGTTGTTTCCACAGTGGCTTCAATTATTCTTCTCTGTATCCATTTAGGTGAAGAAGCTGTCAAAAACTTTAGAAACTAGAATATCATCCTAGTCTACATTTTACAGCAGATGAACTCAATGGGCGCATTTAGATGAGCGTGCACATGCAAATCCACGCAGACAAATAGCAGTGGCACACAGCTGTGCCACTGCTACTTGTCCGCAGGGAACGCCTGTGCAAGCATGCTCCAGCACGCAGCAAGTTGACCAGGTTGGGTAGGGGAGGCTGGGGCTAACACTTGGGCTGGCCCCAGCAGCCTTACCTGGGGCACTGGGAGCCTCGCGGGGCTCCAGCAGTGGTGATCCAGGTACACAGAGCCTGGCTGGCAGGAGGAGTATGGCTCTGGCCGGCCAAACTCTGGTTACAGGTAGCACACACTGCCGCCACACTTTTTTTTTTGGTGTGGGTTTGACACTGGGACACAAAGATCTCCCTCTGTCAAAAAAACCCACAGCGCTACAAATCAGCAGTGCAGCAAACGCCTGCATGTGTAGCGCACGCAGTCTGCAGTGCCGCAGATAAATCTGCGACACCACAAAAAGTACATGCACACTCTTCTGCCCAGCACTGGGCACACTCTTCAAATCCAATGTTTTGTGACTATCCCTAATATAGGCTGCATAAAT